TAATCTGCCTAATTAACATTACGTAAATACCTTGTCCTTCGTGATTAGTAGAAACTCCGTTTACCATCGATAAACACAAAGCAATCAAAATAAAAGAGATAATAACGTATCTACTTTGAGTTTAGGGTAACGGTGTCACCTTTTTGGGGAATTGAGTGATATACCTACGTCGCTGCCGACATCCAAAACGACCTGTTAAAGGTTATGTACCATTGATCAATATTATTGGCCAAATAAGATATAATTAAGTTGTTAAATTACAAGGAGTGTTCGAAGTTCTGCCCGTTTAACTCCAAATATGTTTGTGCCGTCACTCTTCGTGTACGCTTGACACAAGTCTGTCACACACTTTGAGCAGCTTCTCGTATTCGTTTGATTAACTCTTGCTCAATTTATAACGGTGTTCGGTACCGGAATCAGATAGGTACTGTGGTCTACACAGTTCAGATAATGTAGCGCTTCTACGGGGGAATTATTGAGACAATAAGTATCCGGTGTTTGAGAAAGTTGAGTTGTTGTGCAATGCTTTCCCCAACTCTCATCGCAAATTCGCTGTTGCTGTACATTTTGTAAAAAAGCTTCAAAGTTTGACAAATGCTTATTATTATTGGAAATGTAACTATATGTAACTTCATGTTAAAAACAAGAAACATTATTGCCGATTTGGCTTTTCATCAAAAAATAGGAGAAGAGTACTTTTTTAAGTAAACATTTTTCGGAATTTGAAGCAGAGATTGTAATTTGCCTTTTTAATGCTTACGTAGGCTGCTCAACGAACATGGGACCTTTCGAAAATAATGCTTAATAACCAAGTTGAAATTCGTTCATAAACTGTTAATATCTTCTAGAAATTATCGAACAAAAATTCAATATTTTTCTCGTACTCTATAAGTGAGCTCCTATAGCATCTCTTAAAACGAATAACGCCAATTTTGATATGATTTTGATGATTTGATTAAAAAATGTATAACTTTTATTTAAGTAAAATTTTGTTCTAATAATAATAACTCTAAAGCTCTGGAACTGGCTTTCACATTTTTGAGACAAAGCCATAAAAACTGTTGCTTCTGCAAAATGCAACCTGCAGCAAGCAAGAGCTGTCATTTTGCGAAGAGCTGTCGTTTTTCGAGCGAAACGATAATAATTAAAAAGACCGACATTTGCTTTCAATGATGATGATGATGATGATGATGATGACATTCGCTTTCAGAAATTCAAATGGGGCAAAATCGGAAAATTTGTTTAACAATAACACCGCTTTAAGGGATTACATTTTATAAACCTTCTCCTCTTATCACGTTTTAAATGATAAAACGTTTCAGCACACAAGTTTGAAGAACTGTTCAACATTTCTGATCATACTAGGAACGTTAAAGAGTATAAAATGTGAGTTCTACATGTGTAAATGACATTTTCTGCTGTAACAAAATGACAGCGAATTTAATTGAACTCCCTGTCTTTTCTAGAGAATAATGGGCAGAGCTATAGATTATTTCCAATACAGTCGTATTATCAACCTGTGAAGTTTAGCGAGTGCGTTTTTCAAAATGGTAAATCTATTATCTTCTCTTAAAAATATTGCTTGCTCCGCCATATCGAAACGAATTGGAAACTAGTAAATGATTTCATCTTCAACCAATATAAAATCTCTATTTTTATTAAGATGGCTGGCTAATATTACTGCCCTCTATTACTACAAACATCGTAAACTATTAATAGAACGTCGTGCAAACATTATGAAATGTTTGCAAGACGATGTTGTGAAATTTGGCGTCAAGTATGTAGTGTAATTAATTTATCAATAAATATTAAAGCAGAGTCGTATAGTAGACTTAAGTATGGTAACGTCTCATACTTAAATAAAATATAAAGTAACGCTATATTTAAATATGAAACTCTCGAGGCCAATTTATTTTCAAGTTTAACAAGGAAAGCTAACTGAGTGAGGTGATAATAGGGTCGCAGGTCATCTGGTTTCGGAAAAAAAATAAACGACTATTAAATTTTGTAAAATAACCGCGGACACGTACAAATTGATGGGGCTCGCAAATTGTCCATAATTCTTGATAATTATTTGCGTTATTGTTGACTTGAATACGTTACAAAATGCTTGAAGAAAATCAAACTATATTCCTCAGGAACCACGTTTCAAAAATTTGATTACTTATACTTATTTACATTTTATAAGAGTGCCAAACTAACAAGAAATGAAATAAAATTCGTTAGTCTTCATTTTTCTCACAATTTCTAATAAGGTCACTCAAATTGTGGAATTCAAATGGAGAATATAATCTAATTTCTTCGTAGATGACGATCAGGTTCAGTTTAATTGTATATAAAAACGGAGATCCATTTTCAGCCTATTATGCAGACAACGTGTCGCTACTTAGGCATTCCAAGAGTATTGTGTTCGACCAACACCATTTTTGCTGATAAACATGTAAATAGACGAACGCTGGTGTCGAGAGTCACACCAGTTTCGCAGACACTTACGATTACGATAATTCAATGGTAAACGGCCAACCTGATTCTTTAGAAGTAACTTATCAGTCTACAATATCCAATAACCTTATATTTTTGCTTACAAAGTCCCCTTTCCTGAAGAACATGGATTCTAGAATCCAATACCAGAAATGGAGTATTTCTCAACAGGCATTCATGTATATTTAATTTCCGTACTATCGAATTCTTACAAGATGATATCAGGCCGAGGAAATACATATCGGCGGAGACTCAGGTATTATTAAAATGGCATGCAGCAGTTGTTGTATGTGTGTTAGTCAAGTACACTTAAAAACATCAGACGTTATTTTAAAATCTATTTTGAAATGAACTTAAATCATTTTTGAGGAGTCAATGTTGTATTTATGAAATTACTAAAAATATGTCGTCTGGAATCCGGCCTTCCACCGTTCCTTTTC